AAATCATGCCTCAGGGAGCATTATTTCGTCGCTCGCTTAGGAGATCTCTTATTTGACTCCTAAACGAGTAATAAAGGAGTACAAAACCGACAAATCCCTCTTATTGCTCAGAAATCAGGTTAAGGGGAGTACTCTTTTATTCCTCACATAGGGAGATCTCCCTTCAAGTTCTAGTGGGAAAATTGAGAAATTACTTTTCTATATATTAACCAGAAATTCAGAAAAACTTTGTTTCATTAATTCACACATACAGTGTAGTGATACATTTAGTGATGATATAACTCAAAAAACACTTTTAACCAACAATAGGCCAAATGCGAACAAAAGACTTAAGCGACGAACTCGTTGACGATTATGAGCCGATAGTGAAAATCACAAAAAAAAAATAAGTCCAAAAAGAGGCGTTAGGCACAAACACATAATTAATTAAAGTGTGCTTCATTATTTCCAAGTACCTCCCCACGAATGCGCAATTCAGCAGGCAAACCACATAATTTATTGGACTGCAAGTCAGTGAGACAGCCATTGCGGTGCACCGACGGCGCAGCATAAAACAAAAACATGTGCACACATTCACCTACACATAAGTACATATATATTACGTATGTAGTTTATGCAATGGTAAATAAATAACTGTACTCGGAGTAAACGCAAAATACGAAAAAGGCAGGCAACAAAGACAACGGGCGCAATGAACATAAATCCAGCAGTGCTCAACCAGCCGTCCAGCATATCAGCCAACCAATGCCATTCGAATTAGTGTAAAAACAATGACCAGCGAGAAAAGATGGGGTAATGGTGATTTTACCAAGCAAAGTCAAAGTTACAAAATTCACCACTACCACATTTATCATTATTAACGGCATTAGCGATCTGGAGAAATGAACTTTAAAAGCAACAAATAGTACAGAAAAGCAGCTGTTAACATTTATTGCAGCGATGTTTGCAGCTTTTGCTGTCTCAACAATTGCAACATGTTGCGCGAAACTTGTTTGGCGTACAACATTTGGCAGCATGTCGCAAGAAATAACAGGTAATGAAATAATACACGTTCTCTGACGATAGGGAAGAGGTTTTGCATTTACGTTTACCCTCAAACGACTTCTCATTCAATTAACAGAAAAATGTTCATCTTCAAAATCTCCATCTAGCACTTTTGTAGTACTCAGTTTCGTATTATTCTACCAACGTTCGCTTATTTTAACAGCGTTACTCCAATCGCCGTAAACTTTGGTGTTTACTTCACAGAAAAATACCTCCTGCTGTTGCAAGTTCCAACTCGAAATCAACATCCGTTACTTTACTGTTATCAAATGATAAACAAAGCGCCACCGCTGTTATTGTCGCTAGGGTTACTCGTTAAGTCGATTATTAAAACACACGTGGCCGGTCGAAGTGCCTGCATTCGTGGCGCGTTTGGTGGCTACTTTCCGGTTGCTGCCCATCTATTTGTCGGCCTGCCCGTTGTATTAGTTGCACGGTCGCCGTCGCTAGAACGACATTTCTTCAAGCACCTTGTTGATTGGAGTAGTAACCAGTTGGTTGGTTGCTCGTTTTGCAGCGCGCGTGTTTCCCGTGGTGAATTCGCTTTCGTTTTGTTTTAAATAGTTAAATAGTTATGCCTCATATTTCCGCTGCTGATAACGCATCGCTATTTTTGATCTTATTTCTTTCTTTGACTCAGATCAAGAGTTAAATAACATGATCCTATTTATTTCAGTAGCATTTCCAGCACTTAACCACACTAACATTTTGTCGTACTACACCGATACAACAAAGCGCTTGTGAAAATTTGTAGTAGCGGCGGCGCATGCGCAACCAACACAGCGGGTAAACAGACAAATATGTAGATGGACAGCGACCGGAAAATAGCCACCAAACGCGTGACAAATGGTGGCACTTCGATCGACCACGATTGACTCAACTAACGACTTAACGAGTCGGCTTAACAGCAATAATCGTGGCGGTGTTTTGTTCACGGATGTTGATTTCGAGTTCGAACTTGCAACAGCACGAGCGGTTAACACCAAAAATTACAGAAGTTGGAGGAATGTTTGGTTTGCAGTGAGACTACAAAAGTACTTGAAGGAGATTTCGAAGGTGAACATTTTTCTGTTAATCAAATGCGAACGGTTGTATTGTTAACAATGGTATCACAACAGCGGTTGGATGGGCCATTTTGTAGGTAGTCGGTAGAACAATACGAAATATTTGTTTAACGTTCGAGAACATCTTGGCGAACTGCTATTGCATTCGACATGATACCAGTTGCTGCATCGCAAACAAGTTTTCAACAACTTGTTGCGTCTGTTTAGGCGTCGAAAGTAGCAAACATTGATGCAACCAGTCTGATTAGCATCTGCGTTTATAGTCTTCTGTTGCATGCCATGCAATGCTCTCAACGTTTCCATTGTCACATAACTAATTCTGTTAGTAGTGATAATATTGGTGATGGTGTTTGTTTTTGTAATACTTAGTACTTAACAGTTTTCGTAGCACTTATAATTTCTTTGGCTTTGCTTCTATGAAATATCGCTACTTTTTAAATTTTTATTGTATTTTCCGACTTTTATTTTATTCGAGCAGAGATAATTGAAAATAATGTAACACATTAAAACGAAGGCGCAAATGTAGTACTCATCAAACTTTTGCTTAGAACTTTGTTCTTCTTTGCCAGTGAGTTCGTCGCTTAAGTCTTTTGTTGTCAGGAGGCAAATAAAGAAAATATTTTATATTTATTGGCATTATTTGAACCTATTGTTAAAATTAAAATTTAGATCGACTGTTTCAAATCTCTTCTGTTTCTCCGTAACGATCCGATATATAGTCAATCTCTATGATTTTGTGGCTAAGTAGAATGACGTTGAGCACACACTTCAGCTCCGTCCACATTGGCAAGGACATTTCAGCACTGTTTGAGACCAAGTCAAAGCAAAACACAGCAAAATCACGGTACTGCTGGCATATGCAGATGATATTAATGTCGCCGACTTGAGCCTCATGAAAGTCAGCGTAGTATTTTGCGGCTTCGAAAACGAAACGAAAGCGGTGAACGAGGTAAAGACAAATACTCGCGCCGAAAAGAGTGACGGCCATTTTTATTTCACTAGACCAACTTAAGCAGTTTTTCCAAATAACATAAAGTGTATTAAAATATTAAAAATTAATGTAATTTATTCTATATTTAGCATCTTATAAATAAGATGTGTCCTAACAAAGCTAAAGCAAATTTTCAAAAATCCAATAACGAATCCAAAATGGCGTTCAAGAAATAAACAAATTACTGAATTTTCATGAAATTTGGTATTTAGAGGTTCTTAAGCTCGCTCATTACAAATTTCAAACTAGCTTTTGAAAATTCAAAATGCAAAATCCAATATAGCGTTCGAATTTCCAAAAATTCAAACCTTAAGAACATTATTAAAAAATGAGAAAACTGAAGTTTTGGGAATTACGAATTTCGTATAAAATAAAAGAATCTTGAAAGAACTGTTGGGGCCTAGATCAAATTCATTACGCTGAACATATAGCAGACAGCCCCAACTAACCCCAATTTATAAATATAATCACTGTCATTATTTCATAATTTGATCATAAATTAATTTTAGATATGTTTCCTCATATTTCAAAAATAAAATTTTGCTAAACAAACATAGAGCATAAACTTTATGGCATTTTCGGATTTAGCATTTTTTAATTTTTCGCGTAAAACATGGCTTCTCTGACCACTGTGCGGCATATGGATCAGATAGCCGGTTTATAAAGCTTTATCTTCCTTTTTTAAAACCTCCCTTTTTTATGGGTAGTGCACTTCAAGGTAGACTTCGGAAAAATTCGTCACTGGGGAATCAAATTTCCATGTTCCTCCCCACTTAACACTCAATTCAAAATGACGCAATTTTGATTTCTTCTTTTATTAGTTGAAAAAAGAAAAAGTGCTTCTTCAACTTAATTTATTTTTTTTTATGTAAATAACTCAGCAGATCTACCTAAAGCACATTTTATTGTGAATGGACTTGCTCAAAGGCTCCAACGGATGGTAAATGAATATTTAATACGTTCCACAGGAATCGGTAGATCAGGCATTCAATTGGATCATCGGAGATATACATACAAATATATCGTATCGTGGTTTTGCAAAACCGCGTAACTGACGTTTGTGCCAAAAATTTGATTTGCTCATAGGATGCTCCAGGCATAAAGCCTTATCTATTCATACCAAGATATCGCTATTAGAGTATGTACTTAAAAATAACAGTTTAGTTGCAATACCGCTGATCAAGAGTAGCATTTATGTATTTTTAATCTCTCCTGTAAAACCTTGGTGGCCTTACATACGCGGCTTTGCACTATCGTGATACGCGGTTTTGTACTTTAAACGACGATATGTATGTATGTATGTATATACTATATATGGGTTTAATACAATAATAGGGTGCAGTTTTAACCCAAAGTCCCCATAATTATTATTATTATTTTTTTTTAATTTCTCCCAACTTTTGATTTTATTCTTCGATAGGGTCTCGGCAGATAAATTTTTTTTCGTTCGAACCCTAGTTAACATTAATAGAAGTAATGTTCTTACATATTGTTGTATATTTAAATAAACAAAGTCATTTACAGCTTCGATGTGATAAACTGCCAACAACGAAATGCCCTCCCAATAAGTGCGGTTTCTTTGTAGTTTGCCTAAAGGGTTTGAGGGAAAGGCCAACTTCATCAATATCACTACTTTTTTTTAATAAACACTTAAATGTAAAAAAAAACTACCTTGAAGCCCATTAAATTGTAGTACCTTTGGGAATTATTTTTTCTGGACGGTGACAGTCGCTTTCTTCCATACCAAGTGTGTTCGAAATTTTTTTATATGGGAAAAAATTAACGAAACCTTCAAAAAAATTGTCCTAGCTACTTCAAAGTTGCACTTGTTATACTAAAATTAAATGAGCTAGGAGATTCTTTTTTTCGTTACATTAAATTGTTTATTAAAAAAAGGCAGACATATTTTTTTTATTCAAAATTGGAATTTTTTTTAATTAGTTAGTAATTAGTTCGTTTTTTGTGACACACAATGATATATTCACATGGAACCGAAAAAAATGCTCATTTTATTTTTATTGTCACAGTCTAATGTACATAGTGAGCATGTTCTTCAAAAGTGTATTAATGATGATTTCGTTTCTGCCGGAATATTGTCGTTTTAAGCAACCATCTCATTTTCAGGGCAACAAAGCTTCAAAGAGCAGAGAATGTGCCTTTTTGCCTTACAAGAGTGTGACATTTTGAGAAACGAATACAAAATCTTCACACAGTTTGCCTTTATTTTAGATTTGAACACGAAAGGAGGAAGGGGCAAAAAAAGGTAGAAACGAAAACACCTTTAGTCAAAATGAGTAATTTGTCAGAGCAGAAATAAAACGTTTTTTAAGCACACGTTAAGGAGTGTACGAAGAATGCACACATTAATGTGGTTTTTTGCAACGAATAACAAAAATATTGAGAGCTTTTAAATTAATATGCTTTTGAAGAACATGCGAGAAAGCCCACAAACTTGTCTGTTTATTCAAGAATGCAGTTGCTCTAAAACCAGTTCTATTAATGCTTATCTCTTCTAAAAGTTACTCACCACACTAATTATAAGAGATTCAAAGGTGTTCTCTTAAACTCTCACTGCACAGAACTCATAACAAGTTCCCCGGTAGCAGTAGTAGAGCGAATGCAATACATATTTGCGTGTAGTTTTTGTTGCTGGAACACCTTAAACAGGTATGTAAACAAAGTATGACAATTAAAAAAGCAAGCAAATTTGCACGCCAAGCAAGAAATGTGAGTATAAGAAATTCAACAGTGAATTTAAAAACATTTAAAAGTACATTTCAACGCCATACAACCTCTACTAGATTACTGACTAATACCTTTTCATTATTTTGTAGTTTTGAACGTTGTTCAGCAACAGTCAGGAAATGCTCAATTTTATTTTGCAACGTTTTTATCAACTTGAAATGTTGTGTGTCCGACACTATTTTTAGCTATACAATTTATTCTAAGGTTTTCACAATTTGTTAAAGTCCAGCAAAAATTGTGATGCTTTTATGCAGCAATGTGTCCAAACCGTATGCGAAAAAAGGCTGCTGCTGAGTTCCAAAAGAAAATTAGGGCAAGCAGTATAATATCAAAAGCGTGTGGCAATGTTTAGGATCACCATAATCTCTTTGGATAAAGAGGAAAACGAACTGAAGGCGACCGAAGGCGACGGCAAGTCCCTGATTCCTTTAAAACGGGGTCGAGTAGAATAGTATATATGTAATGATTTTTTTAGCATGGAAGAGTTGAATGTTCCTGGTGTTGAATTTTTATATGGTTTCATAAGCCCAACTATCAATGTTATACACAAAGATGTTCAAGGACGAGATAATTTTACGTGACAAAGAGTTTATAAAGATTCTCTGGACACAGCACAATGTAGAGACTGAAGCAACAACCAACACTATTGGTACGGTATATAGCAGACAATAGAATCAATGTCTAAATTTATAATAAATTGGCCTATTATTTCTTTCCTACACTATAATTGTAATTATCGAATGTTTGCCACTACGGCTATTATGCTGTGACTGTTGTTGTAGCAGCATACAAGTTCCCCAACTGGTTTTTGGGGAGTGTTGCTGGAGTGACAGTCTTTGGCAAGATATAAATCTGGGTCGATCCGGTTACGTAGACCAGACTGTAGACGTGACTGTCGAAGGGTACAATGCGCCATGATGGCCAGCTGTTTATGTTGTTCTTTAAGGCCGTAGGCAATGGTAAAACGGAGTCCCCTAGTTCGTGAGTAAGATAACCTTTGAGTATGCTTTGGTAAAAAATGTATGTCCACATAAAATTTTTTTGTATTATTTAAATGTCAATGCAAGGGTTTAAAACAAGCATGGGCAGCGCTAGCAGAACTCCATAAGCGTGTGCAAAAATCTTAGGCATTTAGTCAACCGAACTTGATATTATTTCAAAATACTTATGTATTATTAATTCTATTAATTTTTCTTACAGTGTCCATAATCAAAAGTAAATATCCTTGGGGTCCCAAAATTGGTATGTCCAATACCAAAATAAAAGGATACTAAATTTTTTTTACCATATCAGAAAGTCGCTTTATATGACCTGTATTTAGGTGGCGTCAACGAAGAAAAAATGTGGAGCTTGAAACCAAATCGCTTTACATTTTCCGGAAAATCAACATGCTATGATTAATGTTTTTTCAGTGTAGGATTTCCGATAAATTCAAAGTAATGAACCCCGTTTATATACGCTGCACACTTCTGAGGAAACCGAGTGAACTTTTCTCAATCAAGTAAACGAGATGCGTTGCTGTTGTCCCCATATTTGTACAGATGTTGATTCTTCCACAATGTCAACATCGCAGTCTTTGTTTGGAGCACTTAACGCCTCGGAAACTTCGATGGGTATTCTATCGGTCTTATTGGCTCCGCTTGAGTATCATCTTGTTTCATGGCACCCCACTGGTATTTTTCACCGGCTGACATCAAAACTAAGTGCCACCTTAGTTCTTTTGTGATTTCATATCTAAGTATATGTACACGAATTCGTTTGTTTTTAATATATTAACTATGTGAATAATTCTCACGATCCAGAAAATAAGCAGCAATTGGTGACTGCCCGAATTGATCCCGATGAGCTTTTTGTTGTTTGAGATTTTTTATACGCACTTCTAATATCTGTTTGAAGTCGGTGCCCATGCTGGCTAATTTAGATTGTAACGCATACACCATGATGTAAGTCAATTATTGAATCTCTTGCAGTCGATATCAAAAAGACTCTTCTTTTTGGCCACTGCAAAAGAAAAGGTAACGTAATATTTATAATTAAGAACACCTATTCATTTTATACTCACGCATTGTCAATTTTTCCAACTTTGCATATGCACTTGCTATGTTTTTGCCAATATATTTGTGACCATCATAAATTCCTTTCTTTGGCATACGTCAATTGTTGCACCATAGCCTGTAAGAAATGCGTAAACATAATAATGTAAACATCTTCAGATGCACTTCTACTTCTAACTTACTTGTAAGTCTCTAATCTGTTGCTCGTACAAAAATTGCGTCTGCGTCAAGGTCTCTATACGATTGCCGCCTTGGTTTACATTGGCCTTATCCGACAACTGGCGTATGATAAGCTGGGCCATTTCCAACTCATTTGACTTTTCTTTGAACTGATGTTCAAACTAACAGCCTTTTCATTTCATCCAGAAGAGCCGCTTTATGTGGCCAACACCCAAAAGGTTTGTTTACAAAGTGCATTTTTGAGTAGTTGAACAAATGCCAGTGGGCAGCCAGCGGGTCAGTTGCTGGCAACAATTTGCAGGTTTGGACCAGCGTTTGTTGGGGCTGCCGGAAAAGTAGCTAAATAATGAAAGTAATTATATGTATAGCGGAGTAGGTTTTCCTTTATTTTAAAAGCTTGGTTACTGATTTCACTAATTGACGACGATGCAACGATCACCGTGGAATCGTTCTGCAAATTGTTACCAGCAACTGACCCGCTGGCTGCCCGCTGGTATTTGTTCAATTACTTAAAAAATGCAAATCATTATAATGATTGCAGGACTTTAACACTTTCACCGATTTGCATTGCATTTAATAAGTACCCATTCTTTACTTTTAAACAACCAATTTACCCTTTAAAATTAAATAATTCCGTAAAAACGCGATTTATTATGCACTTTGTAAACAAAGCTTTCAATTTCGCCACAGCTGTTCGATTCTTCTTCTTTTCTTATTTGGGGTGTTCACAGTTGGCTCCAAATTGTGTCTGAAAATGTAGACGTCTACATTTTGAGACATCTTTAGCATCAAACTGTGAGCACCCCTTTCCAGCAGTCGTCGCAAAATCGTCTAAAAACTTTGCTGGTGTTGCCAGACATTTCTTCTTTTCGTGCATTTTTTATATGTCGGCTTTCGATTTTGTTTCTGAAAAATTGTAATTATTTAACTTAATTACCAATTCCTAATATTTGTTATTTCTTTTCCTTGATTTGTCTCTTTTCATCAGAAACTGCGCTCAAATTAAATGCAAATACACAAAACGTGCACGATAAATAAAAAAAATGTGATTAGTATTGCCATAATGCAACCCTGCTGCGAGGTTGCAAAATGTAGACGCGCAAAAAACATACCTTTGAGTGTGACAAAATGTAGACGGCGTCGTTTTCCAATTTTGTATGGGAAACAACAACACCACAGATTTTACGGTTAGAAAATGAAATATTAAAATGTAGAAATTTGGAACGAACTGTGAACACCCCAATTGAATTCAGGTGCGATCGACAAGAAAAAAATTTTTAATAGTTTTCAAATTTTTACTGGATGGCGTTCGATAACGACAAAAAATTATCCAACACACAAAGAGAGCAAGCGTTCATTTTGATGCAAGAGAAACGTTCATTTTGTACTGGCAAAATTTTAGTCAGCAATTATCTAAAGTTTTAGAAAACTTTTGCTGGTTTTGCGTTCTCGTACCGAAAAAACTTGCAAAGTAGGGGAAATTGAGAGAGCAAAATGTGAAAGAGAGCTGCAAATTTCTGCTGGAAAAATTTTCCCAGCTAAAACTTGCAAGTAAGAAAATCAGCTGATCACAAACACATGTTTGTAAATAAACAAAAGAAAATATGGCCTTTTTGAGTTATTATTGCAATTTTTATTATTAATCCTAGTTTACAACTAAAATGTGCGTAAATTTAATAAGCACAACATTCATTGCGTTTATTTTTCGTTAATTTGCTATTAATCTCCAGTTTGTTTACTTTAGTGTGTGCTGACTATGGTTGCCGTATGACATTTTTCGTTTGTACCATAATTTACCTTTAAATATACCAAAAGAGATTTAAATGCAGCATGCTGAAATGTTGTTTTGCTGAAGTTTTCGGTTTTGGTAGGGTGATTGTTGAAATGAAAATTTTATAATTTTAAACCTACTCTATTACATTTTTTTGGATCAATGATGGGTGTTTGGAGGAGATACTATTGTTTTTAGTGCGTCGCCATGTGATATCAAAAATAATTATGAGAAAAATAACTTATTCATTCCGATATAATTAAATCGTATTTTACAAAGGTTATTCTTATCCAAAACTATTCAAATGTATAAAATGCCAAATCGGAGGAAAATGCACCAAGCAGAAAATAAATTGCCAAATTAATCACCAGTGGCAACTGTGCAAGTGATCAGCTGTTTCGAAGGTTGCAAGTTTTTGCAAATTTTGCGTTCCCGTACTTTTGTTGATATTTCGTCTCTTTGAGAGCGAATGCTGCTAAAGTCTCAGAACTTTTGCTGCTGGAGAATTTTGTCCTCTCAATACGAGTACACACCTAAAATTTTCCAACACGAAAGCATCTGATCACAAAACATATGGTTGCAATTTTTGTAAACAAATAAAATTGCATTTTCCGAGTTTTGGTATTTATATGCTTTTTGGCTGCCTGCTATGTGACTTTATGATAGCGCTAACTAGTTTTTACTTCTAGAATTGTTCCTGGCGAACATTGACGTTAACTTTCCTTTTTTCTCTATGGAGGCAACATGAATTTCAGTTTGTTTACAAATAAAACATAAACAAAATCAACTGGTGTGTCTTCTTCTTCCGGTTTATGCAAGTAATGGCTAATTTCCTGTTCGTTTACTTTTTTGCTTTTTCATCTCTATGGGAGAGAATTTTCGCTTACTCTCTTGATTTTGATTGTTCGCTGGTGTTGGCTAATTTTGTTATGAACGCAACTTTCGTCTTTACTCTCTCATTCTGGTATATATTGACGTCATGGCCAGTTGCTCTCAGCTCGATTGGCGCAATCTTGCATTCTATCATTCTTGATTAATTCCCTACTTACGCACTTTCACTTGGACATTGTTCAACTCAAATCACAACAAAAGTTGCAATTTAAAAAAATAGGAGTGTTCGCTATGCAACTGCCAGTAAGAATTAGCCAGTAACAAAATTCAGAGAATAAGGTACCTTACTCTCCCAAAGAGAGAAACTTACTAAGTTTTGCGCGAACCGGAAGTAGCAAACATAAGCAAGCTTCACTGCCAGCTGGCGTCCACGGTTGCATTTCGAGCATAATAATTTTTTATAAATATTTCAGGTGGAAACCAAAACAGGACCTATAGGTATATTTCTTCTTATTCTGACTTTCTTCAACATACGCTTCAATTTCATTGTGGAAGTCACTATCGGATTTCCTATATCGACATTGGTGTCGAGTGCGTTCCGATTACGAATACAGTTTTTTCAGCACAGTACCTTTCAAATGTTTGGAATTAATAAAATAATTGAATAAACGAATATTTACATACTTCTTTCATTAGTAAATCGCAACAAGATTGTTCATTTTTAAATATTACGAACTCGTTGATTCAAATTAATGTTGACAAAAATGCAACCGTGTTCCACAATCCTGTTTGCAAATTCATACTGGCAAAAATTTTCCCAGCACGAGGTGCAATCCCGTATTCCTCGGACTCGGACTAGTAGAACTGTCAACAAATAAAAATTCGCTCAGAGCGAGAGAGTAACATTGAAAAGTACGGGATCGCTTTCTAGTAAAAAATGGTAACTTCTATCAACTTCAACATAACCTCCAAATTTTGGTTGTAAATTTTTGCTTATTTTGTACGTAAATACACTCAGCTCACACATGTAAATAACCAAAAATACTTTCAAATTCATTAGAATCCACTTAAACAAGTACATAATTAAATACTTTTCAACATGAATTAGCAGAGTGCACTTTTCTTTTGTTTGCAATTTGGTTGCCAAATATACTACAGCTGATCGTTTGACACATTTACCAGCAAAAAAATCTCGGACTAAAACTGGTGACTTCTGACAGAGAGAGAACGGTATATACTCTCTTTTTTGTCCTCTCAATAGTCAGAGAACCGAGTACGGGATCGATTTCCAGTAAAATCTGACTGATTCTGACTAGTCCGGACCAGTGTTGCCGTTTTAGCCCTTTGGTGGCTAAATTTAGCTACCACATACTTTTTTTGGCCACATAAATTTAAAATTGCCCCTAGCCCTTTTTTTAGCCCTTTTCATAATCTATTCATACTTGGCATCAAAAAGTTGTATATGCTTAATTTGTTTTTTTTTTTGCATTTATGTAAGAGATGAATTTTTAAACTAAGAAAGACTGATATATATACATATGTATCTATATGTATGGTATGTTCCTTACGTTTTTATACATACATACTGTAAAAGTGTTAAGGCTGTTAACTTATCTATTAACGATTTAACTATAGTTTAAAATAGATAAGTTGACTGCCCTTACTGCCATACTGTAAAAGTGTTGGGGCTGTTAACTTTTCTGTTAACGATTTAACTATAGTTTAAAATAAATTTGTTTGTAAATTTGTTTAATGACCCATCAAGTCAAGTGACCGTGTATGTTCTTGTGGTGTGATTATACCAGCATGCTGGTGTCGTTAGTGGTGAAATTAGCTCAATTTTCTAAGTAAAAAGTATTTTGGCGGAAATTTCTTGCACTATATGAGTCAAAGCTGTATTTGTGGAAGATTACGTTCACGATATTGCAGTTGTGAATTACAAAGAAAAACAATGTTAAACAAAATGCTACAAAAATTATGAAATTTCGGCTCTAATCATTTCGATCTTTCCTCGATCTCATTTGTAAAGAAATAGATATTGTACCAGCATGCTGGTAAGTTATATGCTTCGAGCCTGATGGTACAATCACTTGATGGAACCAGCAAGCAGCTGGTACAAAAAGGTTATTGGTTGGATAAAATATTAGCTTTTTTCCAAAGTTCATTGTTTTTATATACCATTACTTATTGAAAATGTTTACGTGTATACTTATATATGTATATGTAAGTAAAAAATTTTAGCTACCATTTTTAGCCACAACGACTTTTTTAGCTCTATTTTAGTCCTTTTTTTAAGGGAATTTGGCTACCACTAAAAATTATGCGCGGCAACACTGGTCCGGACTCGTACGGGATCGCAACTACGAATTTGCAACTTCCCCTCCAAATGAAATGTCAAAATTGTGCTCTCTCCTTGCAAGTTTTACTGGGTTTTTGGCTAAACGAACACGATTTGGTAACAATTGGTACCAACTTGTACAAATTTTTTGCATAGCGAACACTCCTAATGTATTTTCGTAAATAAACCGCAGAATCAAGCCGCTGTCAACGTAGTAGGAATAGAGCTGTAGGAAACCGTATGTATTCGTTACTAAGTAACGGGTACAACCCCTGACTCGAAGTACTCAATCGTTACTCACATAATAATCTCGTTACTCGTATGTTCCAGGGCGTATTTAAGGTCGGTGTTATGCAGAAATTTTGTTTGGCAAACTGCGTGCAATTGTTGTTGCAGCAAACTCGGAGAGAGCGAGATTGGCGACTCTCACAGCAAACTAATTTTGTTTGGTCAAACTGCAGCAAATTCGGTGTTGTCATAAGGCCTGTATGCAGTTCTCAAGAAAAGCTAAAATGCCATACAAAATGACGTACAAGAAATGGCTAAGAAATTTTCTTGAGTCAAATTTCCTTCAGGCAGTACGCAGTTCTTAAGAAAATTGCTACGCTTTTTACTACGGTTTTCTAAAGTTTTTTGTGAAACAAGAGCACAAGGCAACCCAGGTTTGCAACAGAAATATATGCCCGTTCCATTATTTCTTGAGAAAAGAGTGAGGCAACAGGCTGTGAGGTATCAAAAATGTCAAAATTCCTTGGACACACACGCGAAATAATGGCAATTTTTTCTTGACCGTTTTCTTGGGAGCTGCATACAGGGCTATATACAAAATTTTAAATTTTGCGCGTTATGTACATCTGAAATTTTCATTTCGTGTTGGCAATAGCCATGAAAACCATAATGAACGTGCAACCCTGTGCCAAACTCGACATAACCACCTCCGAGCAAACTAAGCAGCCGCCATTTAATTTGGCAAACAAAAGTTTGTCTGCATAACACCGACCTAACAGGTGATAGCAGCACCCTTATATTTTTCTTCGCCTCACGGCTTCATATGTCAAATGGCTGCTGTTGATTGGTTGGAGCAGTTGATTGTTTATTGTTTTCTGTTCTGTTTCACATCCTTCGATGAATCAATACAAAACAGCATATTGTGCGGTAACGAAACTCTTGTTCGTATCGATACTAAAATGTGTTGCGTTAATATGTACGCACATGCATGCATATGTACGAACGATCATTTCCTTACGCTGCAAGATTCCTTGCGATGGTTCGTGTCAGGTACAAGTGCTTGTAACGGGTGATTTTTTTGAGGTTAGGATTTTCATGCATTAGTATTTGACAGATCACGTGGGATTTCAGACATGGTGTCAAAGAGAAAGATGCTCAGTATGCTTTGACATTTCATCATGAATAGACTTACTAACGAGCAACGCTTGCAAATCATTGAATTTTATTACCAAAATCTGTGTTCGGTTCGAAATGTGTTTCGCGCTTTACGTCCGATTTATGGTCTACATAATCGACCAAGTGAGCAAACAATTAATGCGATTGTGACCAAGTTTCGCACTCAGTTTACTTTATTGGACATTAAACCAACCACACGAATGCGTACAGTGCGTACAGAAGAGAATATTGCGTCTGTTTCTGAGAGTGTTGCTGAAGACCGTGAAATGTCGATTCGTCGCCGTTCGCAGCAATTGGGTTTGTGTTATTCGACCACATGGAAGATTTTACGCAAAGATCTTGGTGTAAAACCGTATAAAATACAGCTCGTGCAAGAACTGAAGCCGAACGATCTGCCACAACGTCGAATTTTCAGTGAATGGGCCCTAGAAAAGTTGGCAGAAAATCCGCTTTTTTATCGACAAATTTTGTTCAGCGATGAGGCTCATTTCTGGTTGAATGGCTTCGTAAATAAGCAAAATTGCCGCATTTGGAGTGAAGAGCAACCAGAAGCCGTTCAAGAACTGCCCATGCATCCCGAAAAATGCACTGTTTGGTGTGGTTTGTACGCTGGTGGAATCATTGGACCGTATTTTTTCAAAGATGCTGTTGGACGCAACGTTACGGTGAATGGCGATCGCTATCGTTCGATGCTAACAAACTTTTTGTTGCCAAAAATGGAAGAACTGAACTTGGTTTACATGTGGTTTCAACAAGATGGCGCTACATGCCACACAGCTCGCGATTCTATGGCCATTTTGAGGGAAAACTTCGGAGAACAATTCATCTCAAGAAATGGACCGGTAAGTTGGCCACCAAGATCATGCGATTTGACGCCTTTAGACTATTTTTTGTGGGGCTACGTCAAGTCTAAAGTCTACAGAAATAAGCCAGCAACTATTCCAGCTTTGGAAGACAACATTTCCGAAGAAATTCGGGCTATTCCGGCCGAAATGCTCGAAAAAGTTGCCCAAAATTGGACTTTCCGAATGGACCACCTAAGACGCAGCCGCGGTCAACATTTAAATGAAATTATCTTCAAAAAGTAAAAAAAAATTTTATGCGTTTTTTTTAAAAAAAAAGTTATCAAGCTCTTAAAAAATCACCCGTTATCAAGGCCTGGGTAACGGCGCAAATTTTTGGCGCTGGCACACTAACTCCAGTGCTACTATCGGAAGCAGCACAGTGTGTTGGCGCAATTGCGCCTCTTCGGCTAAAGCTCATTTCCTTTATTGCTGCACGCTGCACCAAAGTGAATTAATACAAGGTGATATCGGTTGAGAAAAAACTCAAATATACCCAAGCTCAAAATCCAAAAATTCAACTGGCCAATACGAATGACCTGTAGTAATGGCTGCTCCAAGGCGAATGCACACAAGGTGGTAGCGGCCGCCCAAGAACACAAAACTACAATTCATACGCACGACGGCAATCAGTACAAAACAAATTTACAACCGCAACCAAGGCGAATTTATATAAGATGGTGTTAATGGCGAACTTAGATTTTTGCCGCGGTACTTCTGTATTTCAAAATGATGTGCAAGGTGTATTGAACAAGGTGGTGTTGGGGCGACAGCTGAGTTTTTCGCCGCGGAGGCCATTACGTCAAAATGATGTGTTTGTTGTAATTCATACCAATGACAGTATGGACATCAGCGTATAATTTGTTAGTGTAATTTTTTACTTATATACGGCCAACACCACCTTGTTAAATACGCCTTGATGATGTGTTTGTTGCAATATCAATTCGCCTTGTTTACAACAAACACATAATTTTGACATTCAGAAGGAACGCGGCGAAAACATAAATTCGCCAGTAACACCACCTTTCATAAATTCGCCTCGACCGCAATAGGGGAACCCAAGGTGTATTAAACAAGGTGGTGTTGCGGCGCCAGCTGAGTTTTTCGCCGTGGAGGCCATTACGTCAAAATGATGTGTTTGTTGTAACTCATACCAATGACAGTATGGACATCAGCGTATAATTTGTTAGTGTAATTTTTTACTTATATACGGCCAACACCACCTTGTTAAATACGCCTTGGGGGAACCGCAGCAGAAATCAAATTTCGACGGGACACCTTGGGCTACTCGGTTTTTACTTAAACCAGGTACTTTTTACTTTCCCTTTTGTTTTTTTACTTCCCTAAACCGAGAATAGTTTGGATGCCATTGTAAATAAATTGCAAACAGCTGATTGTAGTGCTTTCGTTGAATAGAAACTGGTTAACAAACGCATTGCAAGATGGAATAAATAAGTGGACAAAAATGGCACTAACGGGTAAGTATATTGGAAGAAAGGCTGTGTGTTCATTTAAAAACTTACTCAGTTTTTATCACTTACGTACGTAGGTGCAAGGCTAAAGAAGGTAATCAATGTGTCACTGGAACGACCCATATTTATATCTGGCCAATGACTTTCACTACAGATGTTTCACAAATCTTGGGAGAATGTTTGATGTTGTAAAAAACCATCTCATCTTGTTAGATTAAGCGTAGATAGATCGCTTCGAAGTATACTGGACAAGTATTATCAGTTAAGCACACCCTCAACCCAGCGTTCTTTTGCCTATGATAGTCGTGTGTATATGATGTTGAAAAGCGGGTCCGAGCAGGACCACTGTCATTGAAAAGCGTTAGCGTTAAAGATTTGAACCTATTGTGTATATAGTAGATGTCTAAACACTAAAATCATCCTCATATCAGGTGAGCTTGGTAGCAAAAATATAAAACATAAAAGTGCTGTAAACTCGCTCGTTCAATTTCTAGCTATAACTTAAAAGTTCAATTTATTGAATATAATATTTCTTCCGCAGAATTGCGTCTAGTTAAGCTACAGAAAAGTACCAGTAATGATATTTGAATTAGGTTTAATTGGTAAGCGCTTCAATAATTTAAAATTCAAGTTACTATTTACAATTAATATTTGCTTTTTTCAGGAATATTAAAACCTACGTTTTATTGATTAAAACACTATCAATAATAAAATTCCAAGGCTGAGGACATGAACGTTTTTTCACATTCTGCTTGACTGTTAAGAAGATATTTTATTAACGGAGCATACAAGTAATGGCATACAACCATTTATATATTTTATAGTAAGGCAGAACAACGGAGATTATCACTAGATACTATGCATAATTTTTTTTTGCTTATTTCCATTGCACAGTTTTAATGAGCATGACGACAAAAAAATAATTAATTACCCAGTAGATAATTTCAGGAGTTAAAAGCCCTTCCGAAAGGCCTTTCTGAGAGTCCAGAGGCCTTCCGCTCTACAACTATTTTTTCTTTCTTTTTTTTGTATAGAGTGGCACAAACTGAGGGGCTTCTGTCTTCGCTACCCATGGAAGGCCTTCCAGAAGGGCTTTTATAGGACGTACTTCAAAAGGCCTTTTGGGGGAGTTCTTTTAAAGTTGCTTCTTTAATTTATAAAAATCATAGATCTTTAAAGTATTTCCGTAAGGTTTATATCAAATATATGTTATTACAACTTAGATGTTTATTGAAATTCATGTTTATGCTAAATAATATAAATTTATGCATTAACGTAAATTGTAAATAGACAAGCCTTTCTAGAAGGCATTCAAGGAAGCCATTTTTCAGCACTTCTTGGGTGGGCCTCTTAGAATGGCTTTACTTAAGAAGGCCTACCTAAATTATCTTCTGGGTACCGGCAAACTGCAGTGCGATGTTGGGGAAAACTATGAACAAAGTTAACTAGATTCAATCGGCAATACGCTGCATTTGTAATTTGCACATTAACAATCTCTGGTGTAGTGCCAAGTGATTGTAGGTTGCATAAATTAAATACCATTATTGGTTTTGCGGCAGTAGTTGATATACATACATACAATTCACGCCAGTTACAACAAAATTGAATGCCAGTACTGGCGATTTTAAATTTAATTAAACACAATGATGTCGATTTTAATAAATTTTTTTTACGCAAGTTTTACAAAAATTTAATTAATACAAATGTTCACGAGAATTAAAGAAATAACATGTTAATAAATACCTATTTATTTCTATAAATTTTTATGGTACTATTAATAACAAATTACCAAGTTTAATTTTCTTCATCCGAAAAATTATACCAAATTATAAATTAAGAAAGTAAAAGTTCATTGCTGTTTTTTTCATTTTTCCTAACAAACACATCGTGGTACAAAGCTCAATAACACTACTGAAATAAGTATTAATCCGCCATAACAAAATTGACAAAAAAATTTCATTTTATTTACAATCGTTGTAGTCAAGTTCTAAGGTTCTTCAACGTCGGAATTCGTGTGCCATCGACGTGGACGCCTAATTGCAGCTTAACTACCTTCGCCAGGTAGCGTAGAGGCGCCGTAGATTTCATAGGGAGAGGGTTAGACTCCATGCAGTGAATAAGCGAGAAAGATCAGTGATATGTCGTTTACATTCGATTACAAGTCATGTTGTTGTTGTAGCAGCATACAAGTTCCCCAAAGAGTTTTTGCGGAGTGTTGCTGGAGTGACAGTCCTTGGCCAAATATAAATCTGGGTCGTTCTGGTTACGTAGACCCGACTGTTGTGGGAACGATCACAAGTCATCAATTCCATTGCTGGACGCTAATATCGACCAATCGTGAGCATAGGAGGTCGGGAAAATTGCGTTCTATGGATGAGGAAGCTTCGAAAAATGGACATTTAACAGTATCGGGGAGAGGACCCCACTATGTGGGGCCCCATGTTTAAACCTTGTTGGCTTAGAAGGTTTGATCTCGAAAGATTACCACTCAGGTAATTGCCATCCATTTTAATACCTGTGGGGGAGAGGATACCTCATTGACCACCAGCAGCGTAGGATGGCAGACGGTTTCAAACTCCTTTGTCTGGTCCAGCTCTACCAGCACACCTCTCTCACAGAGGTGGGTATGGTTTAGGCCGCGAGCTATCTTTTTTCTGCACTTAACAGAAGCCATCTTGATGATTCGCAATGGTCAGGTTACATGTATAGTACGGAAGAAGCCAGGCCTCACGTGTCTTCACTACTCTTCTGGAAATGAGAGTTATCGGGCAATCAGACTCCCACTTGGTTTGCTTGTTTCCCCGGCTTTAGTAGTGGGAGCACCCCCATAATTTTCACAAATCTGAGACTATCAGAAGCCATCGATCCAAATTTTTTTTCAGAACCAGCATGCATATTCCCCCGAGAAAATGTCTTTGGAGGCTTTTGCCTTTCCGATGGGCATTTGGAATTCGCCGCTGGTAGAAGTAAGAGGCGCACTGTCTTTTGGCAGTTTGTGCAGCCTTCCGGTCACTCGACTCTTGGCATTATCCACCGAAGGATGCAGTGTATCTTGTGGCTCAAATAATTCGCGCATAGCTTCGGGTCCGACGATCTCCGACGTGATCTTCGAATGAAATTTTCACTCTGTCATCACTGCTCGACGGGTCTACATCGGTCCAGTTATGCTTGTTGCTGTGTATGTTGCTGCCTGGTTCTGATTGGATGCGTCAGAACTCGGAAGCAGGGCGCGAAGGAATCACTTTTTCTTTCACGAGTGGTACGCAGACCAAAACATAGTCGGAAGAAATACCACCCAAGGCAAGAATTGCACTGGACTGATTCCACGTTCCGATATGTTCTGTTATGATACACGGAACAGATGATGAGTGGAGCCAAGAGCAGCTGGTTAGCCCTCACACGGGATTTGGGCGGTTTGTCACCCAGGAGAGCTCTCTTGAATTCAGGGCCTCCTTGAGTGCATATTTGCACCACGAGTTTCGTGAGCTATCCAAGACCAAAGACATATTAGTAATTATATCCGAAATCAAACTGTTAAAAGCCGGCGGCAAAGAGCTGGTAGGAGGCATGAAACAGCTTTTAAGCTGAATTTGGTGTGGTGAATGCGAGTCCGATGATTGGAATTTCAGTGTACTTGATGTGAAACGAAAGCAAGGCCGCCCACAAAATATTACGACCAAGTGCAGAATGACCTGTCTGCACACTAAATGAACAAGTGACGCGCAAATTCGCAAAGGAGAGAGGCGATTGGCGAAGTTTTTTGTCCTCGGCCCCAGTCGGCAAACGGTTGTAGTTCGAAATAAAAAGAAGAAGATTCATGGTCGACTATACTTAAAGATCTGTCTTGAGTATGCGGTTGAAAACACATCGCTTATGCAGGCACGCAAAAATTTTGTAGAAGAACTTTGTTTAATACAGTGGTCAGCTCTATTTTCTATGTAGTAAAGAAATCTGCGGAAACGATGGGACGTGTCAGTCAGCCGAAGACGTATCCAAAAGCTTATTCAGAACTCAACTCAAACTAAAGCCTTAGATGACATGCTACAGTTTTACCTGATCTCTTACTCCGACTCAGCAGCCATCTACAGTGATGGCTCCAAGTTAGATCTGAAGGACGGAAGTGTAGCATACTCCCAAGAACTCTCACTTAGGCTCAGTTTTCGTCTGCCAAATCTTTGAAGCGTTTTCAAGCTGAATTTACAGCAATCAACGAAACCGCAAGATGGGTGATCGGTTCTTCTATTAATTCTCAAACAGTAGCTATCTTTTCTGATAGCCAGGCAGCTATCAAAGCATTTAATTGTGACAAAACGTTATCGAGGATTTTCATGGAATGTAGACGTACTCGAAATTAGCTGGCAAGGAGATACCATAGACCATAGACAGACCATAGATATGTACCGGGCAACTGTGTTGCCGATGAACTGGTAAGGAAAGGCGCCTTACTGCCAGCAATCAGTACTGCGCGAGATGCGGGCATTCATTCCGCTATGTTCCTGCCAACTCCGGCTGGAGAATAATTTTATGGAACGGGAAATTACAAGATGATCTGCGGACCCACGTGCAGGGCAGCAAGGCATGTTTGTCCTAGGTTGGATACGCGTAGATACAGCACTCTACTCCACTTGGAGTCACCACTGCTCCGGTATATAATTGGAGTTATCACCGAATATTGCCTGATGAGAACTCACGCTAGTAGGATGGGTATGCAGTTAAACGGCAAATATTATGAGGAGGAACACGAAAGCGTAGAGTATTACCTGTGTCAATGTTCCGCATTGCCGAGGGCTCGTCGACGCTATTCTTTTAAATGTTTGGCTGAAGTGGATTCAGCTTCAGTAGGGCTACAAATTGGTTTTACTTCTAAGGTATGAGATTGGGGGTAAGGGGTCTCTGTTATGGCTTAACAATGCGTCCACAGTGGCCTCATTGTGCCCTCCTGTGCTGAATGGGGACATCCAATATAACCTAACCTAAGCTATTCAGAACTTAAGTAAAACAAGTAAGAGCAGCGCTGTCTTCGGCTATGCCGAAGGCTTCATACCTTTCATGAACATCTGCAAATTTTACTTTGACAGATTACTGCTTTTGAATACATCTGCATACATCGATAGAGGAGTTACATACTTATATAAAAAATCGTATCTAAACAATCGGAGGTATTGAAGATATACTTTATATGGCACCAATCTAAGTGATTTTCACTGCTATGTGATCGGTATGTAAACCGGTAACACAATTTATTGGGTTTAGTTTCCTACATAAAGGAGATATATGGTAAAAACTGGTATCTGAACAATCAGTGCTATAGGAGATAAAGCTTATACAGCATAGATTTTGATGATTTTCTCAGTAGACTTTGTGTTATTATTTATAAAATATCTTACGAAATTTATCGGTTTTAGCTGTTCAAATGAAGAAGTTTTACAGTAAAATCCCATATCTGAACAATCACATGTATGGAAGATATATGTTGTAATCATCCGATCCTTGTTATTTTCACTGTAAGTATTCTGTTAATAATGAGTGAAAATGGTGCGAAATTTCATGTTCCTAGCTGCATAAATGGAGGAGTTATGATAAAAGACCTCATATCTGAACAATCAGTTGTATGGGGGCTGCAGGTTATAGTGACCCGATATTTGTTATTTTCGCTGTAAGCATTCTGTTGATAATGAGTGAAAACAGCGCAAAATTGCATGGTCCTAGCTACATAAATGGATGAATTATAACGAAAAATCTCATATCTGAACAATCAGTTGTATGGGAGCTATAGGTTATAGTTACCCGATCTTTTTAATTTCCACTGTGAGTATTCTGTTGATAATGGGTGCAAGTATTGCAAAATTTCATGTTCGTAGCTGCATAAATGGAGAAGTTATAATGAAAAATCTCATATCTGATCAATCAGTTGTATGGGAGCTATATGTTATAGTCGTCCGATTCTTCCGGTTCCGACAAATGATTAATACATTATAAAAATACACCCACCTACCAAATTTGATCCGGATATCTCGAAAACTGAGAGACTAGATTGCATACAGACAGACGGACAGACGGACAGACGGACATGGCTAAATCAACTCAGCTCGACGTTCTGATCATATAAGTATACATTTTCATGGGTCTATCTCTTTTTGTTCTGGTACTTACAAACATCGGACCAAAGTTATAATACCATTTCATGCTCATGAAAGGTATAAAAATGTCTGAGAAGCGGTGAAGGGTATCCTAATTTTGTTGATTTCGAAGTATGTAATATCCCTGCCATGTAGCGGTTCCATACGTTGCTAACCCGTTATGACCATATTGTTACGATTATCCTCGAAACCTTGAGGGATTTCCCAAATATACT